ATTCTTTATTTTTACAGGATCAAGAGATAATCTTTACAAACTCCCTAGCTTTTCATAGGCTAAGCTAGAACCAATCCCTTTTTACAAGGTAAAAGATGTAAACAAGAAAAATATCTCAAAAGGAAGGTGTTTGCAAAGATTTAACCTCACAAGAAAACAAATAAAAGATTTACAATGAGCTCAAAACATTAATATTTACAAGAGAAAAGAAAATAAGAATGAAGAACTCTTCTCTTGTGTTTGATTACTTGGATAGGTGTTCTAACCCTTCTTCAAATGCCGTCAACTTGTTTTGTGGTTGTTTCTAGCAGTTGGGGATGTTTCGGAGCCGTTGGGAATTAATTTTCTTCAAAATAAAACTGCCCAAGACAAGGATTATCTCCTTTAATGAGTATTGGTACTACCTTTGTAATATTTAAATAAACTAACTGTTACTAGCCGTTAGGCCTGACCAATATCGATACTGTGGTTCATGGTATTGATATCACTGTGTAAAGTAGTATCGGTACCCCTTTGAGTATCGGTACCTATTTTTCATTATGGAATTTAAGCCTCTTGGAAAACACCTCGTAGTATCGATAATACCTAGAGAGTATCAATACTTTTCTTTCTTTGATATTTTAATTGACTTTGAATTATTTTTGAAACCTTTGAACAAATTCAATCAAGTCCAAAAACATTTTACCTTAATTTGTTATATCAAAATATTATAAAACATGGTTCAACAATCTCCCCCTTTTTTATATAACAAAACATTTGAAAAATTGTTTTTCTGCAAAACTCCCTCTTAATAAAATATTTCATGAAAAAAAATATTTGGAAAATATTTAAGCTCCCCATTTTTCATTCTTGAAGTTGAATTTTTCAAACTCATACTTCTCCCCCTTTTTGTTATATAAAAAATAATTCAACTTTAAAGTTCAAAAATAACAATGGAGAGTAAGTAGTAATTTTAACATTAAAATCATTCGAAAAATCAAAGCTCCCCCTCAATAAAAGCATTTCAAACAGAAATTTGACTTTAAAATCTTGACACTTAAAAGACATTGAATTTCAACAAAGATGAACAAACAAGTTAGTAGCACAAGAAATTCAATATATCCAAGTCTAATATAATTTATGCAATCCTAATTTGGTGAATTTAAGTGCATGTGCATGAAGCTATCATACATGCTTAAAAATCAATAGGCAACCAATTTACAAAATCAAAAAGCTTTAAGGTTAGAGGTTACCCATTCTTCTTTTGTGTGACAAGAGCAATTGAAATCATTTACCTTTATCACCATTGCTCCAATACACCTACAAGACACATTCATTTTGATTTTGGTATCCAAATTGCTTTGGATCCTTGAACGTTAGTTTCAATGCCCATTGTTCCCTTAGGAATCCATACTTGTTTAATTTTAAAATGTTTTCCTTTCTTTAAAGGACAATTATGTTCGTTGTGATCATGATAATGACAATGTGAGCATTTTGTCGTTATGAAATTAGATGAATTATTTAAAATGATTTCTTTTTCTTTTATTAAGCATTCAAACTTAACCTTTAAATCAAAACTTTCTTTTTCAAAATTTTCATTTTTGAAAGCTCTAAATCGATTTTCAAATTTTCATTTTGTTTTTCAAAATCAACTTTGGCTTTCAAAAGAAATCGTTTTCAACTTTAAGTTTTGAAATCATTTTCTTGTATTTGGAGTTCATGGTCTCAAACTAAAAAAATAATTCATCATATGCATCTAGTAACTCATTAAAAGAATATGAATTAGATTCACTAGAGTTAGAAGATACTTCGGGCTCTTCAAGAGCCATTAAGCACACTACCTTTGGTGGTTCTTATTTTTTGTCACCATTAAGTTTGTCGAGCTTATTCCAAAGCTCCTTGGCATTTGAACAGGAAGAAACTCCTTCATAGACATCGGGACCAAATGTAAAAAATAACATGTGCATGACCTTAGCATTTAGTTGAGTTTTATTCCGTTCTTGGGCACTCCACTCATTTGTCTTCTTATTTGGAGAAGAGTACCCGTTCTTGATCATCTCCCATGCATCAAGATCTTTGGATTGGATGAATAGATTCATTAATTTCTTCCAATGATGGTAGTTGGCTCCATTGAAGTATGGAGGCTTATCAATCGGTTGAGAGTCTTTCATGTGGAACGAGTCGGAGTTGGAAGCCATCTTCTTAGTTGTTTCAAAAATTGGTAGAGCTTCTTCAAGGATCGTATCAAGGTTGTTAGACCTTATAATGAGTCAATCTCTGATACCAATTGTTTGGATTTTTTATGAAAATCAAATGGACAATCGAATGATTTTCCAAGAGGGGGTAAATTGGCTTTTTGAGTTTAGTGAGTAAGGAGTAAAAAGGATAGGAAAATTTGCACAAGAATTTATAGTGGTTCAAATTCTCAACAAAGTCTACATCCACTACCTTAGCTCCTCGTAAGAATTTTCTAACAAATTCACTAATTTGTTCTTTATTTTTACAAGATCAAGAGATAACCTTTACAAACTCCCTTGCTTTTCAAAAGCTAAGCTAAAACCAATCCTATTTTACAAGGTAAAAGATATAAACAAGAAAAACCTTTCAAAAGGAAGGTGTTTACAAATATTTAAGCTCACAAGAAAACAAATAAAAGATTTACAATGAGCTCAAAACACTAATATTTACAAGAGAAAGAAAAATAAGAATGAAAAACTCTTCTATTATGTTTGATTGCTTGGATATGTGTTCTAACCCTTCTTCAAGTGTTCTCAACTTGTTTTTATATGTTGGAATGAGTTTGTGGTTGTTTCTAGCAATTGGGGATGTTTTGGAGCCATTGGGGATTAATTTTCTACAAAATAAAATTGCCCAGGACTAGCCGTTACTAGCCATTGGGCCTGACCAATATAAGATTTAAATAAACTAGCCGTTATTAGCCATTGGGCCTGACCAGTATCGATATTATGTTCATGGTATCGATACCACTATGTAAAGTAGTATCGGTATTCCTTTGAGTATTAATACCTATTTTGCATTCAAAAATTTGAGCCTCTTGGGAAAATACCTGGTAGTATTGATACTATCTAGAGAGTACCGATACTTTTCTTACCTTTGGCATCGGTACTGCGTAAACAATATCGGTATTGTTCATGTAGTATCGATACTATAAGAACAATATCGGTACTATGTTCCCAGAAAAGCAGTGTTGTGCTCAAATTCTATTTTAATGGGATTTGAATCATTTTTGAAATTTTTAAAAACTTTGAACAAATTCAATCAAGTCCAAAAACATTTTGCCTTAATTTGTTATATTAAAATATTATAAAACATGATTCAACAGTATCATTTCATGCAAGTTATGATATTTATTTCTTATTCAATTTACTTTATTTTTAAACAATTTGAGGAGAATATTCTTTTATAGTTCAGAAATAGATGGGATAGCCTCCCAATGGAGGATTGCGAATATTGAGATTTCTTTTTCTAATTTAAGAATTTTCTCTAATAATTAATTCGAAAAATATCATTTTCAATAAAAGGATCGTAATTTAAATATTGATATGAATTCACAATGTCCACAATTTACGGCGATGTGTAAGCGACTAAGTACCAATTTTTGGGTGTTATAGGGTTGCTTATCCTTCTCAACGCGTAATTGATTCCCGAATCTTTAAAAATAGATTTTTAGTAAAGCATACCAATTTTTGTCTTTAAAATGATTTTAATCATTTTAAAAAAGACGTTGTAGGTATTCGACCTACCTAGTCCAAAGGTCGATGGTAGCTTCAATTTAAAACAATTCAAAAAAATTCAAAATCTCATTTTTCTATAAAGAAGTCATAACTATTCTTTTAAAATAATAAAAATTTTCAAAATGGTTATTACATATATTTTTATAGAAATTATTACTCTTCTCAATTACATAAATATCTCTTATACATAACCATGGCAAAGGTGAATATATATATATATATATATATATATATATCTATTTACACAACTGATTTAAATTTGGTGTTACAAAATAAGATCAAATCATTAGGTAACTCTACATTCTTTGAATTTTACCAAACTCTTAAAATAATTAATGATAATTGATAGTTCAATTCTTCAAAAATAAACTAAATCTTTTCGACTTATAAAAGATTTATTATTTTATATCCCTTGTACAATTCGTTGATCATCGATAGTTTAATTCATAAAAACAAACTAATTTTTTTCAAACTTATAATAACTATTCCATATCCCTCATAAAAATTTGAGTCTCATCACAAGAAGAAAATTAGTATTTTTTAAAATGCTAAACTACTTAAGTTCTATGAACATTATTGTTTGAATTTGAATGAGAATAATTTGTCTTAAGTCACTAAAATTATTTATTAGATTTAAGAGATACCACATTCATAAAAATTATTAAGATAAAAGTATAACAAAAAAAAAAAGAATAATTCAAACTTTTATTATATAACTGTAATTATTTTGTAAAATTAGATTCGATACGTAATATTCATCTTATGAGCTAACCCTAGTCAGAACAGTAATATTTATATAGTATAATTGGTTTAGGGTAGATTCATCCATTTACTTGTAAGAGTTAGAGAAGAACAAGTTATCACTTATTTGACTGGATTTAAGCTCCAGGACAAGAGGGCAATCGCGTAAATATCCGAAAAGGGATTTCTTATATGACTAAGCATAATGTTTTGTTAGTATTAATTAAAAATCATATAATAAAAAAATATATAGGAGGTGGACAAATATATGATGTACCTTCAAAAAGAAGACCCATAGTAGGTGAGAGCTTCAGAGATACACACCCTCAAGAATCATGATATATAGTTATATTCTTCCTCTTCTTCTTTCTTGTGCATGCTATTGCTAGCAAAGTAAGAAAACCAAGATTGCTTATGCGTTATGATTTCAATTATATACATGATATTTGCCAGCAAAACCTAATAGAAGAGATTATTTCTTCTTTCTTCTTGTTTTTGTTTATCTTGTTTGCAAGTAAGATACTTAGGTTTCAAAAGTTGATTTCTGTTATTTTGAAAGGAAATCAATCGGCATACTCTTTTCACTTCTCCTTGGTTGCTTGCTTCTTTGCCTATGGCCTATTTGGCTATCAGAGCACTACATGTATCTTTTATGGGTAACTTTTAATTTGTTTTACGATTTTATATGTATGTAGGAGCAAAATCGTAGTGCAGAAAACAATAAGGAAATATGGAGGGAGAGAATGGAAACGAAGAAAACTTACCGCCGGGATTTCGTTTTCATCCAACTGATGAAGAGCTCATCACTTTCTATCTTGTAAATAAGATTTCAGATGCTAACTTTACAGGAAGAGCTATTGCAGACGTTGATCTCAACAAATGCGAGCCCTGGGACCTTCCTGGTAGTTTTAACTTATGTCTTTTTCTCCATAAACAAAAACAATCATCAGATTACTGTTGGTTCTAGATTTTGAGAGAATCAACATTAATTTCCCATCTTTGAATCATGTTTAGGATTATGAAAAGGTCAAAGTCACTTATATTTATGCTCTTTCTTTGAATACGGAAAGTTTTTGTCTTCAGGCTGCAGCAATCAGTATGGTAACAATGTTATGCATAACTGCCATTTTCTTTCTTTAACCACGGGAAAAAGATTTTACGAAAGAAAGAAAATGGGACGATAACAAGTTTACGATAAAATTAGAGTTGCAGTGTGAATTACAATTTTGGTTTACCTACTGGTTTTCAATATTAATAAGCTTGAAATAATAGATAAACTTGGATTATCATTTCTTGTAACAGATGTATGTATATATTCTTTTTCTTAAAAAAAACAAAGAGATAATCAAGTTTTGCATAGAATTGTGGTAAGAGATATCTAATACGAAATGTTTCGATTCCTGATCAGGGAAGGCCAAAATGGGAGAAAAAGAGTGGTATTTTTTCAGCCTTCGGGATCGAAAATACCCCACTGGCGTAAGAACAAACCGAGCAACGAACACGGGTTACTGGAAGACGACGGGAAAAGACAAGGAGGTCTTCAACAGTAGATGCACATCAGAGTTGGTTGGGATGAAGAAGACCTTGGTGTTTTACAGAGGGAGAGCACCCCGAGGAGAAAAAACCAATTGGGTCATGCATGAGTATCGTATTCACTCTAAATCATCTTTTAGAACTAACAAGGTACGTACGTACCCTTTGATCAGGATCTTCATTCTGAGTATCGTATTGATATAAACTTTTTGTAAGTTCAGCAGGAGGAATGGGTTGTGTGTCGCGTGTTTCAGAAGAGTGTGGGGATGAAAAAGTATCCCTCCGCCTCGAGAGCTGCAGTGAATCCCTACAGTTTGGATATAGGAGGAGGGGGACCTGGTGTTGTACCAATGATGCAGGACTTGTCTATGGGAGCGGAACTTTCAAGGGTTCTAAGGGGTGGTCCGAGTTGTAGTGCCAATCTACCTATTCAATCCCAATTCAACTATCCAATTCCTGGAGGTTTTACCATATCCGGCCTGAATTTGAATCTTGGAGGTTCTACGCAGCCTGTGATGCGACCAATGCAACCTCCGCCACTGCTGCACCAACAAGACGTTACGGCCTCTTTGATGACCACCACTACCTTTGACCCGGAAAATGGCTATGGTGCAGATCAGATCAATGCAAATGTGCAGACCAACAGATACTTGACTGTTGACCATTGCATGGACTTGGATAACTATTGGCCTACGTACTAAAGGACCATGCAAAATCCAATGTCACGAAGCATTTCTTTTAGTATTAGTCACTACTTGTTAAGCATACTAGTATGTGTTTATTAGATTGGAATACTATGGGGAGTTCAATGAGTCATGATTCATAATTAGGAACTTAAATGCATTGCCACTGCCCTAAAGTTGGGCATCTTTTGTCCTTGTATATCTCAACTCCGATTATTTTACAAAATTAAGAATGTAGAAATCAACTTTGTCCGGGCTTAAGGCCCACTAACGTACGGATCTTGGACTTAAGTTGACCCAATCTAAAATGAAACAATTCAAGTAGTGCTGGTTGGTGAAATCTAGAGGTAGGAGAAAGTGACATAGGCAAAGTCCAAAGTCTAGAGGATTCGGTTGGGCTGCCATATACTAACTAATTTGAACAGATTGGCCCAACTTTCAACTTCCTCACGCACGGGCCAACGGCCATTATCCATAGACGTAAATGCATGCACCCCAAACCTTACCTGATTACAGCAATACAAAGCTTAACTTGAAGGTGATGCTGATGCACATATTGAAAAGCAAAACTAGGATAGCTTGACAGTCGTTTATGGTCTTTTAATTAATGTGTTTGTTTTGGATAATCTTTTTTTATTTCTAATATGAAAATATAAGATTCTAAAACCATATTCTCATGTTTGATTTTAAATATTATTTGTTGGTAATCTAAGATTATTAATATTATCTTTGAATTGATATTCCTAATGTATGGTTATTAATAGATTATCTTATCACTCATAATCCATTGTTTCTGTTAAAATATTTTATTAGCTCAAAATATAAATGAAATTTAGTGACGAATAATTAAATCAATTTATACCCTAATAGAAAAACATTAGCTCAAATTTATATTTCTTCTAAAATAATATTAAATGATATGTGGAATTGCTTTAAAACATTGTTTAATTTAATTCTTATATTAATAAACTAAGGCAAAAAATCTGTGGAATAATGTGTTGATTTTTTTTTACTCAAATGATACAGTCGAAGGATTATTTGTCCATTTGAGGCGAATGCTACAATTTTTCATTGGTCGCCATGTGCTCCGAACAACGATTACCTAAATTTTCCTAAGTACCAAATATTACCTATATCGGTAATTAGGTTTTAATGCAATTACCTAAATTTCCCTAAGTAACAACGATTACTTACATCGATAATTAGGTTTTTTAACTACGCTGAAATGAAAGTCGTCATGTATGCCGGGCGATCTTATAGGTCACCATGTGATCCCGGCGACCAAACTGGCTAGATTATTAGTTACTTTAGGGTTTCGGGTAAAAGCCTAATTACCGATATAGGTAATGCAGCAGCTCACCACAGCTCGCAGGGACGGCATGGCGACCTCCTTGGTCGCCAGGAGTGCCTGACGACATATGTTCGAACTGTAAATTTCACCCTATCTCAACAATTAATTATTAGAACGTATTATCTCGTAAATTTTTTTCCAATAACATTATCTAGTTGATTTTGTTTAAATAAAAAGAGTTATATGAACTTTCGTACTAATATTTTTAATTTAATCTTTTGAATTGATTTAATATTTAAGATGTGGACTTGTTGACAAACCTTCATTCAAATCCCCTAATATTTTTAATCCTACTCTCTTCTTCAACTCCTAACCAACTACTACAAAATTCTTCACTCGATTTAAACAAACAAACAAACCAACCTTCATTCAAATCCGCAAAATTCATTTGAAATTCTTTTATTTGCTCTTTGGATATGGAAGCAAGCAGTGAAGTATCAAGCACGCTTCAATATCAAACAGTATTTACTCGATGAACTTTCTCCGGTTGGATAGAGTTTTTCAACTCAAAACCAATGGATTACTGAGACGAAGCCTCAAGTTTCGACCTCTAGATCGGAGACTTCGAGCTCTGATTCGTCTCTTACTGAATCCGATTTTAAATCCGTGGACGATGATGATTTCTTTCAATTCTCTCCTAATTTTATTGGCTTTCAATTCGAGTCGAAACCTTAAATTATTGATCTCACCACGCCTAAATCCTTCTCATCCAACGCCGGTGCTTTTGATTTGAGTTCAAACCTCAAATACTTTCAGCGGCTAAACCTGATGTTTCTTCGAATTCGAGCTCTCGGAACCGAAAACCGTCGCTGAAAATCTCGTTACCTCCGAAGGTGGAGCAGGTTCAGTTCGGTACACCGGATTTAACTCAGGCAGAGCCGAAGAAGCATTACAGAGGAGTCCGAAGAAGGCCGTGGGGGAAGTTCGCGGCGGAGTCGGTCCCGACGAGGTTCTAGGATCTGGTTAGGAACCTTTGAAACGGCCATCGTAGCCGGAAGGGCTTACGACCGAGCTGCTTTCCAGCTACGTGGCTCGAAAGCGGTTGTTAATTTCCCTCTTGAAGTCGGAAAGTGGGATGCACGCGCCGACGACGGGGCGAGGAAACGGAGCAGAGATTACGGCGAAAGGGAAGAGAGGATAGTGAATGCAATGAAGAGATAAAATGATGACGTGGCCAAAGAGAAAAGTAACGGTGAAGTGCCTTTGACGCCGTCAAGTTGGTCTACCTTTTTTTTGATTTGGAGACTGAGATGAAGGGGATCTTTAACGTGCCACTGTTGTCGCCGTTGAGTTTTCCCCAAGTTATAGTTATATGACGATATTTGTCAGTTTTAAAATGGCTGACGTGGATATTTTACTAAATTCGTTCAAGAACTTTTTATATATTGTATATATGTCCGAATTTCTATTAAAATATTCTTTAATTGGATTATTCAATTTCAATTTTGTTGAAAATTTGTTCAAAACAATCTTTTTATTGAAAAAATTATCATCGTTATTATTATTTTTAACTTTTCCAAACATAGTCAAAACTCTGATTAGATTAGGAGTGATTAATGAGTTAATTAAATTTATGATTTGCTTGAATTCGATTCGTCCAAATTCAGTCAATGCTCGATTAAGTTAATTCGACTCAAAATCTTAATGAGTTTGATCAATAATAATTCATTATGTTTTTATAATTTTTAAAAGATACCTTAAGAAAAACTATTCAATTAACAAAGAATGTCTAATTAATAATTATTTTTATTAAAAAAACTATTCAATTAAAAAATATCTAATTAATAATTACTAATTTACTAATAGATAATAACAAAGATGATAAACTACTACTTAATAATTACTACCAACTTATTAATCTTCTAATAAATAATAAAATATATTAAATTATTAATTTACAAGATTTTAAATATAGTTAAAAAGTAAGGTAATTTTTGTGTGTGTTCAATGAGCGAGTCGAACAACAATTTTTTAACGAAAACGAATCAAATACTACTCAACTCACGATTAACTCGCCCGATAAATATTTCTAATTTGGATACAGAGAATGCGAGAAAAATAAAGTTTATTTTTATTAATTAAAATAAATGAAAGTAAAGTATTTTAAATTCCCTTTAAAAACAATTGTGTTTTAATTATTGAGGTCGCTAGAGTTCACTTACATAATTTATATTAATATTTATATGATAATTAATACAGTTTAAGGGTAACTTTTACCTTTGTAGTAGACCCAATTTATTACTTTTAACCCTATCGTATTTTCGCATCAACTTAGCTTTCAAAGTCGCTTAATTGCATCATTCTATACCCTACTCCTAACTTAAAACCCTCAAATATAAACTCTAAGTTGGGATTTAGGTTTATGGTTTATGACTTAGAGGTTATAGGGTTGTGATTTAAGGTTTATGCTTTATAATATAGAGTTTTAAGTTAGGGGTAGGAAAATGATGCGATTTCGAAGGCTAAACTGATGTAAAAATACAATAGGAGTGAAAGTGATAAACTGAGTATATTACAGGGGCAAAAGTTACCCTTTTGTCTAATTAATAATTATTATAATCCTTCTATTAATTGAAAGTTTGATTAATAGATACTAATAATTTAAAACTGAATTCATCAAAATATAATTAGAAAGTTAAACTAAAATGTTAAAATTTTTTAAAATAAGAGTTACCATTTAAAGTAAAATTGAAAGGTTTAAAATTAGATTAATTTATAATGAAAATTATAGTTTAGAACTAAAATTAAAATATACAAATTTAATCTAAAATGAATGTTATAATGTAAAAACGTGTAGTATAATTACTTTGAAATTGGGGTGAATATCGTTAATATATTGTATTCAAAGTCGTACATAAACCGACCGTCTGTTGAGAAATAAACGAGTAACAAGTAATTTCCCTATAACCAGATTAGTGAGAATGCAAAATAAAAGCGGAAAAATAATATCCGAAATTGATAACGGAGTTCAGCCAATTGTGCTTACGTCTCCGGACTGCTGCAGATCTTTTACTAAGAGAGAATTACAGGTGTTTACAAAACACTCACTACTCACAAGAAAACTCTCTAGTATTGGAGAAAGAAATAATTTTGGGATGGTTTTGAAGCTAAATGAGCTAGGGTATTTATAGTTGAAACTTAAGGACTTAATCTTGTAATACCCCTAAAACCTAGGGATTAATTGTGATTATCCTATTATCATTTTTCAACAAACATACCAAACTTGAAAAACTATTTTTCAAAGAAACATTTACCAACTTTGAAAACCATTTTCAAAGAAACATTTACCAAACTTGAAAACCATTTTTCAAAGTTGGTTACCAAACTTGAAAACCATTTTAATACTTTCAACAATCTCCCACTTGAGACTGATTTTAATCTGTCTTCACACCTCGATCAATGCACAGCTTTTCTAGTCTTGTTATGTAGCAGCCAACTGAAGTTGAACACAACTTTGTCTGTAGTCACCGTCTTTGTCAACATATCTGGCTGGATTTTGAGCTCCACTGATCTTTTCAAGTTTCAAAATCTCATCTTCCAGAGAGACCGGATAAAATGATATCGCAATTGTATGTGCTTTGTCCTGGAATGAAAAGACGGATTCTTTGCTAGATGTATAGCACTTTGACTGTCGCAATACAAGACATTGTTTTCTTGTTTCTGCCTAACTCTTCCAAGAAACTTTGGAGCCAAACCATCTCCTTGCTAGCTTCCGTAACAGCGACATATTCTGCTTCAGTTGTGGAGAGAGCAACTATCTTCTTAGTTGAGAAACCCAACTCACTGCGGTTCCCCTAGAGTATAGACAT